TTCTAACCCACAAACCTTGTAGGAGTTTCAATATCCCAATCTTAATTTTCTAATTTTTTGATTTTTTTATAATAAAAAAAAAACTCAGCATTTATTGATTTCTCCAAACCCACAAGCCTTTTTGACTTCTCTCATACTTATTGCTGCACCATTTTCAATTTCTCCCATATACTATGATTAGTGATGAGATTGTTATATGTATCATCTCCTTTCTCCCAATCTAAATAAATAAACAAATAAAATGATCTTTTTTTGGCAAGTGAGATTTTATTACCAAAAAGAAATATACAAAACTCAATACACACCTTAAAAGGCACAGGAATGTCACAAGGCAAGACCCAAAAAGCCTAGACCACTAAAACAAAAACTTAATAAGAAAATATATACTAGTCTAATAAATATGTATATGAAGAAAATAACTTCTAAAATGATTGATGATGGAAACCAAAATGCCACATAGTCTCAATATTGATTCAATACGCTCAATAATGAATTTAAAAAATTTAATCATCCCTTATATTTCAAAATAGAACTGGGAATGTTTTGTCTCATTGAAAACCTTTACGCAAACTATGAATGGTCTAAAATAATTAAGAAAAAACAAAAAGCCCTAGTTTATTACAGAAATAGGCAAACCAAATAAAATCATAATCGATTAACAAGGACTATACTATTTATCAAAACCCAAGAAATGTAAATTATGTTATGATAATACTAAATTTTTTTAGCTATAAGACAACATCTAATTCTTCATTTAGTTGATCTTGTCAACTACCCTTGAGATAACTTTAAAAATTTGAGTTAAAGTATAACTAAAGAAGTGATAAATAAACATACCTTGTCAGTTGCACAACCGACTCAAAACTTGAGTCCCTTTGTAGCCAAAAGGACCGTGCCTCATTAGCTTAACAATGTTTTTAGCAGATATACTTTTGGCAATCGTTATCGTCATTGAACTTAGTGCACCTGAGGAAATGTGTCTTAGGCAAGGCGTCAGGGAAAACTTGATAGAGCTCATTGAGAATTTTTCCAGACCAAGCATTTTGAATGACATCCCTAGCATGTTCACAAACGGTCCTCAAATATTTTATATGTTTGAAGAAAAATTGTCTGAAATTTATATAATGGTTTTTCTTCATGAGGAGGATAATATAGAACTTGTCACAATTGCGGTTGACGGGCATCCCATGTGAGGCCCCTGAAAATTTTAATTTCTTAAAAGTCCCTTACTTTTAAATTATTTCCTTGAAGTCCTACAGTTTCTTAATTAATTGCAACCCTAGGATCAAAATACATGCGCCAACAAAAAATCGCAAACCCTAATCGATTTCGGAAACTTAGAAATAATTTCTAATACTCTAATTGACTCCCTAAATATGAAATTACCACTTGGAAACCCTAGGCTTTTCCGGTCTTTATCACATTCATCGGTTGATCGCGTTTTTGTTCGAAACAAGAAATCCAAACCGAATTAGACTCTCTAACCCTAATTTAATTTAATTCCACACTAAAATAAATTTCCAATTCATAAATTAAACCCAATGCCCACATATTTTTCTTAAATCACATTTTGACCCCAAACTAGTACCATTACACACATATATACATATATATACTTGAACCTTTCTTAAATAAATAATTTTATACACAAATATCTTCACATATATATATATATATATATATAATCAACAAAAATATCCCCAAATCTAGCACATGGCCAGCCATCACCCTCTCTAGGCTACAATCATAGGTACTTTAGAGACAAATCCCTTAAATCATGGAAAAAATATCATTGGTACCCCCAAATCAAGGGAAGTTGTCTTGTACTTGTAATTATCTTGGTTCTACTTAAGCCTAACCCTAACTAGATCATGCCTTAATACATGATTAGGCTCCCTAATGATCCTTCATTCCATTACATTCTAGCTAAATACATCTCAATTCCATTCCATTCCAACCAATGGGCATTTTGGACCTTTTACATCAATTTTATTATAAAAACACCACCACCCTCCACATGTTACACATCCCAAACACTCACACACCTACACATTCAGTTGAGAGAAAGAAAGAAGAGGAAGAGAGTGAAATTTGATAGTAGAGGAGAGGAAAAGAGGAGACAATTGTGCAAACACTTCACTTGGTAATCAAGTAAGCCACAACACAACTCTCTCTTTTATTTTCTTTTTTCAAATACATGCTCTTAGAAGTTTTAAACATTCATTTCAGATGTGTTTTGATGGTATTCTTGTGTTAAAAATGAAAGGAGTTGAGCCTTGATTCTACCATTCTTGTATTTCTCTTAATCGGTATAAGACTACCTTTTTTCATATGAAACTCTCAAAATTTCCAAAGGTACACCTTCACCTTAAATTTTTGAGTTTAATACAAATTATTTAGCAAGTTTTCATCACAAGATAAGTGAAAATTTTCCCCTAGTTGACCTCTTTTCTCACCAACTTTCTTGTTGCAAGAACTGTGCCAGAAAAATCTGTTTTACAGCCAACTTTCAAAAATTCTAGAAAAATGTATAAAAATCTTCTGGACCTCAGTTTTATGTAAAATTGGTTTCATTTAAAAAGAGTGAGCGGTTTGAAAGAAAATTCAATTTTCGTAACGGCCAACGAATCTGGACAGCGCTGGAGTGTTTCTTAAATAACTAAAAATCTAGAAAAGATATTCCATTTCTGAAACATGTTCTGAAAACTAGATTAAATTCTCTACGAACCATAGGAAGGCTAGGTTCAGAAAATATCTGAAATAGCCTTTTTTATTTTAATCTTTAAATGGTATTGAATCTAGAAATTTCGTTCTGCATGGGTGTTTTATGCTCTTGTGTACATGAATATGCTTATTAGTTTATGATCATGTCTTGGTATGGTATTTCATGTGTTATGGTTATGTCCCTTATCTCCTTCATTTTAATGATGCTCATACTTATGTGGATATTACTATCTTGTTGAGTTTGTTCTAACTTGACTTAAAACATTGATCAAAATGGAAAACTTAATTGAGATGGTATTAGGTTTTCGATCACTTGAATAATGACGAGATAATAATGTGTTATGTATGGATTGATGGGATGTGCTCCCTAATTGAAGGTTAAGTCTTGCGTAAGCGGTTGTCGCATAAACCCTAGAATGGAACGGACGTATTCGAACTCTTTGCAATGGTTTGATTGGTGAGAAAAGGTTAGGTCCGAACGAGACATTCAGGAGGATAAAACTTTTTTGGAATGATAAGGTTGGATTCAGGAGATAAAACCTTTTTTCTTTTCACTGTCCCTTTTGAGGCCCTGCGGTTGGCGCTACGCGGTATATAACCGTTGGTAGGCATCCGAGGTTAGTTCTGCAACAAAGCAGCAAAAAGGGTAGTTCCGAATAGTCCGGTGTCTAATTCTTGTGGTTGGGAGGATGAAATCTCTTTGGGGGATTTCTAAAATACTAACCACTAACATTATAACCTTTGTTATCTATTTGAATGACGGGCTTGTTTTGTTTGTGTTTCAAAATCAATTTTTGAGAGAAAAAAGTACCAAAACGCGTTTGGCAAACAAATTTCTGAAATATTCTCTGAAGACTCATCGCAGAGAAAAAAAGATGGTTCCCAACACAAGTTATACGCATCTTCTGTCATTCAATTCTCTCTCTCAAAAGAACCTTTTTGACCTCATCTCTCTGATACAAAAAAAAAAAAATATCCTTCAGAGGCAGTCTAACGGCTCTCGCTCGGCTGTGTCAAGGAAGACAATTCACACCTATAGGCCAAGATCTGTACTCGCCCAAGTGCCTTCGAAGAGACCCACTTGTCTTCCTTCCATCAGTACGCTGTTGACAATTTGTGAAATCTTCCGCCATAGATACACCGACACTGTCTATCACCTCCTTCATCGTTGTGTCGCACAGGCTTGAGGCAATAGGGGGCATCTGCTCGTACGGGTCCTCTTTGAACAAGCACAACTTGTCTTCCTCACAGATTTCCCCAAATCATGCCCTAGCTTTGGTCTTAGTCAAATTGAGTTAAATCTTCACACAATCTGGACTTGTAACATCAATGTCCATCATTTTTTTATTGTGGGCTCTATAAAATGCAAACCAACCAGCTTCAAACCCCACCAGGACGAAGCATAACTTCATCCTTCGTTGCAAAAACGGAGAGGTCGTGCTCAAAACTTCATTGTGGACGGTGGGATTTGAGGGCCACCAAAAGCAGGCAAGCAAGAGGTATTTGTGTTGAACAAATAATTTTTTTTTTTTTTTAAAATTTCATTTGGTACATGAACTTTGAACAATGTGTTGACTGATTTTGGTTTACAAAGTTCCCATGGCTTATCTTTTTGTCACTGCCTTTGGGTTTGTCAATTTGTGGTGAAATTTCCCAATTGGTAAATTTTTGAAAATTTTTAGCAGCACTGTCTGCTTTTTTTCTGAAGATGAGCATTGTTGGATTTTTTCTCAAGCTAAGTTATGTCCTTGTTTTGTTGCAACTAATCAAGGTAAATGAAGAAGTTGTAATTAACTCAGATTATGAGCCAATAAATTAAAAACTGTGTGACGTGAAGACTGAAAAAAGTAAAGACTGTTTGTTGTAGATAAATTGTTTGATGTAAAGACTGAGAAAGAAAGTATTAAGATGTCCTTTAAGAGTATAATTCAGGACGTGAAGGGTGAATTGGGAAGCATTTCTAGAAAAGGGTTTGATGTGAAATTTGGGTATGGATTGAAGTCGAGGTCGCTCCGGGTGGTTTACGATAGTTCGGTGGTGCTGGTTGATGCTTTGAAGCAGAGTGGTTGGGCAAATATGCCTCCTAAGCTTTTAAGGGATGTCTTGATAAGGATCGAGGCATCTAGATGTTCTAACACCAAGTAGGCTGTACAACTACTTTCAAATACTATTAACATAAACGGGATTACCTTTTCTGATAGGATCTCTATTATCAATCATGTTAGGTGGATTTGAGAACAAATCAAACTCGGTTCTTGAATAGAATTTGCTTCCAAGTTAGATGGTTGATCGTTTCATTGTATCATATTCGCTTCTCAATTGATCATACATTTCCTCAAGCTTTCTCTTTTGTCTGGTATTGGGAAATAATAGTTCATGTCAAGGTTCATGCACTGAAACTATAAATCTGAATAAGGTTTGACATATTGATGATGTCGAAGACTGACCTGGATTTCTCAGAAAAATTTTCTTGGAGCTCTTGCTTATCCTTGGTTAAGTTCTCAATCTCTTGTTCCAGCATCTGGCACCTCTTGGCCATTTTCTGGTATGCAGTGTGCACTTGCTCCAGTTTTTCTGTGAACTTTTCTTGCATTGTCTCGCATTTCTGCCTGCACTGAGCTACTATTCTGTTCATCTTGAATTGCATTTCCAGTTCCTGTTGCCCGATGTAGAACATCACACTTCTGTATGCACTCTTCATCACTAGATATGTTCAAGGAAAGATGTGGGTCCAATGTGTATTTTAACCAAAAATTATAAAAAGTTCCGAGCCCTCTACACTCCATTTGGGAACTACAAGTATTACATAGGGTGCCTAACCGTTCTCGTCTTCTTTTCTTTCTTCTTTCTTCTTTTTTCTTTTTTCTTTTTTGTCTTTTGTCTTTGTCTTGGGATATTGATATTTGCCACGGCAATAATGGCTGCTTCCACAGCCTCATAAAAGGATAAATAGGCTGTAGAACAGCCACACACCTGTCACAAATACCCTCCAGTTTTTGCCACTATGCCACTCAATACTAGATGAATTCTGAATAGGGAATGTTAAGAGGAATATACACATGTATACATATACATGTAATGAGACAACATTCATTGGAAGTAATAAAGGACACAAATCTGTGGAGATATCCCTGCCATAGCCATCTGCAAAATAACATGTAAAAGGTCAAGCAAAGTACAGCTTATGGTGATCTCTGTTTGAAATAGCAGTAAACTAGAGACGCTCAAGTAACTGAGTATTTAATTGAGGAGTGCTTGCTTACGTTTATCCATTCATTGTTCGGATTGATATCCACAGGTTTCATAAGACTGACAAGTGAACACCATTTCCAGTTAGAAGGCACAATTTTTTTTTTTAAAATGCTATAGATGCTTAAGATGTTAAATGCTATAGATGACCAGTGACTTATATATTTGCACAACAGCAACTCATGGCCAAAGGGAAAGAAATCTAGGGGAAACCCATACTACCATCACTCCATTAAATAATTAATCAGTAGGCTGGATCAATCCTTTCCCTAAACTCTCATGCAGTTGTAGCAATCTGATGCTTTAAGAATTCACATGCAAAAGAACATGTTTAAAATTCCAAACCGTGCCATCAGAAGCCACTGACCTCTTGGATAGCACTTGATCACAGATGGGGCAAGACGCATCATTACTGAGGATCTTGCTGGCATCTTCGGTGCCTTTTAACACTGTTAAGGAAACCTCGAGCTAATGCACCAATTCTACAGTAAAGATATATAGAACTTCAGAAAATAAAAAACTATTATATGCATCTAGATACACAAGATGTGGCCACAAGTGGTGGAAATGGCTCGCCCTTCCAATTCTCGCCAGCATGCATTGCATCTCATTTCAGCTTTCAGCAATGATCCCTAAATTTCATGCTATAGGTTGGAACCTGGAAGACCTGTACGTTAATCACAACTAAAGATATGAGCAAGACTCTCCTAGTAGTTTATATGCAGCTACCCCAAATCAAGGGAAGTTGTCTTGTACTTGTAACTATCTTGGTTCTACTTAAGCCTAACCCTAACTAGATCATGCCTTAATACATGATTAGGCTCCCTAATGATCCTTCATTCCATTACATTCCAACTAAATACATCTCAATTCCATTCCATTCCAACCAATGGGCATTTTGGACCTTTTACACCAATTTTATTATAAAAACACCACCACCCTCCACATGTTACACATCTCATACACTCACACACCTACACATTCAGTTGAGAGAAAGAAAGAAGAGGAAGAGAGTGAAATTTGATAGTAGAGGAGAGGAAAAGAGGAGACAATTGTGCAAACACTTCACTTGGTAATCAAGTAAGCCACAACACAACTCTCTCTCTTTTATTTTCCTTTTTCAAACACATGCTCTTAGAAGTTTTAAACATTCATTTCAAATGTATTTTGATGGTATTCTTGTGTTAAAAATGAAAGGAGTTGAGCCTTGATTCTACCATTCTTGTATTTCTCTTAATCGGTATAAGACTACCTTTTTTCCATATCAAACTCTCAAAATTTCCAAAGGTACACCTTCACCTTAAATTTTTGAGTTTAATACATATTGTTTAGCAAGTTTTCATCACAAGATAAGTGAAAAATTTCCCCTACTTGACCTCTTTTCTCACTAACTTTCTTGTTGCAAGAACTGTGCCAGAAAAATCTGTTTTACAACCAACTTTCAAAAATTCTAGAAAAATGTATAAAAATCTTCTGGACCTCAATTTTATGTAAAATTGGTTTCATTTAAAAAGAGTGAGCGGTTTGAAAGTGTAGACACCCCATTTTTGACCGACCTTAAGACTCAGACGTCACCAGTTGAGAAGTTTCAGAGTCTCGGCTGCGAGCCTTGCCTCCGGACTTCCGCACTCTTTCGTGCCTTTCCTCGGTTTGCGAACCAAGCTCTGTTTTCTCTGTTTTCTCTTCCTGGAGGGAGGGAGAGGTCTCGTAGATCATCTCTCAGTGGCCGTAGGCTACGTTTTGTGGTCGTAGGCCATTTTTCCCGTTTGGAGCCCGATTTTTGGTTTTTCAGAGCCAACGGTCGTGTGCCTCGATTCGGGACCGCCTAACCATCTCCATTTGCTCCGGTTTTTGGTATACACCTCATTTACTCCCTTTTGAGGGACACTGGGGTCCGAGAGACGAACTTCGTGGTCGAACGCCACCTCCAGTGCTTAACGGCCCATTTTCAGGGCCTTGGGTCGCGCGTTTCGGTCCCCCGAACCTCCGTTTTGCATCCATTTTGGTTCATTTTTGGTGGAGACCTTATTTTCATGATTAGGAAGCTTGTAGAAGGGTGGGAGGCCAGCAATTGTTCTGAAAAGCCAGCTTCATTCCTTCATCGCTCTCCGACACTCGTTTTTCTCACTAAAAAGCCAATGTTGACCACCCCGGGGCCACTTTCTTGAACCCCAAACCCCATATTTGTGTTGTACACACCTGGGAGGCCACCAATATGTGGTGGCCGACCAGTAATTGTTCCTGACCTTTTTGACCCCCTCTAAAAAATGGTCTTTTCTCTCTCCTGGTTCACTTTCTCTGGGTTTCAATCACATAGTTGTGTTATGCACACATGGGAGACCACCAATATGAGGTGGCCGACCAGTAATTTTGCTTGACCCTTTTGACCCTTGGTCAGTCGGCCATGGGAGGTGGTCGGCCGACCACCTGAACCCCCAAAACCTGGCCGGCCATGACCCCCTCACCTGGTTCCTTACAAATCTGACCTTTTTTTTCCCCCAGATCCTGTATCTGAGGGGAACTCTTTTGGGGGGGAAATTTGAATTCATTTCCCCCCCGTTTCCCTCCATTCTTTGGCCTATATAACCAGCCCCTCAACTGCATTTTGAGGGGTTACAAAATTGGTTTAAGGCCATTGCATATAACTCTCCCTCTCCCTCTCTTCCAAGCCTCAAAACACCTTTGTTCCTACACCATTTCTACACCAACTCATAGCCTATCAATCCACACTCCACTTCCAGCAACTTGAGGCTGTTTTTCAGAGTTTAGGAGCACCTTTCCTTGGTCCAAAAGCTGCTGAAGCATTGGTCTACAAGGGTGAGTCACTTTCTTCCCTTTTCTAGTCTTTTTTTGCTTTGTACATAAGCCTTAGTTGCTTGCATTTTTGGGCTTCGACCCTAACTGTAAATAGTCATATTTTGAGCCCCTTTTCATGTTTGATTAAGGGTCTTTCTCTGTTTGAGGCCTCTTGCCATCACTTGCTTCTTTAACTCTCTTTTAGGCCTTATTTTTGCATAGTATTTTTGGCCTTTTTGTGAGCTGTTTTGGACTTTGCCATAAACTGTAAAATAGCTTTTTTTGAGCCCCTCTTCAACATTGTTGAAGGGATCTTCTCTGTTTGAGGCCGGAAGCTATCACTTGCTTCTTTAACTCTCTTTTAGGCCTTATTTTTGCATAGTATTTTAGGCCTATTTCAAAGTTGTTTTGGACTCTGACATAAACTGTAAAATAGCTTTTTTTGAGCCCCTCTTCAACATTGTTGAAGGTCTCTCTTCTGTTTGAGGCTTCCTGCTATCACTTGCTTCTCTATCTCTCTTTTAGGCCAATTTTTGCATAGTATTTTAGGCCTATTTGTGAGCTGTTTTGGATCTTTCCATAAACTGTAAAATATCTTTTCTTGAGCTCCTCTTCAACTTTGTTGAAGGGCGCTTTGCCATTCGGGGCCATCTGCTGTCCCTTTGTGTTTAATCTCTATTTTAGGGCCATTTTTGCATGATAGATTAGCCCTATTTGTGTTAATTTTTTAGGCTTGTTATAAACTGGAAATATGCATTTTTTGGGACTATCTTGCATCTTTCTTCATGCTTCATGATAAAATAATGCATGTTTTGTATAGCTATAGGCCAATGCGTATGCCTAGTTTTGTGTTTCGGGGCCATTCTATGCATCGGGTGCCATGTTTCCATGTTTCGGGATCATTTTGCATCACATTTCAGTGCTAAAACTTGCATGTTTGTATGCCATATTTCGTGTCTTGCCATGCGTTGTTAGAGTGGCATTTGTGCCTTAGGTTCGGTCCTCGATTTGCGTGCATGCGTGCACGTACTTCGAGAGTCTCATTTTCACCTAATGGCTACTGATGTGAGTGTGGTTGAGGTCCACTCATGTTGGTGTAAGTCCATTGTGCATTGTGTATGCCATTTCATTTCATAGCATTGCGTATGTCAGGTTGTATGTTAGCGCATTGTGCATGCCATGTTATCTCGTGCATCGTATATGCCATTTCATAGCGTTGTGCATGCTAGGTTGTATATTAGTTGCATCCATGCATGTCATGCATATTGCATTGTGTTTGGGATAGGAGTTAGCCCGAGCACGGAAAACGAGAAACGTTTCGTACTCCGAGTGACGGAACGTGTCTCAATTCCTAGTCACCGACACTCCGGATTATCCATGATGGAGTTTAGGTCTTGTTGTGTCCATATGTGCATTCATTTCATATTGAGTCGTGTAATTCAACTCCTCGGCCATCATGCATCGATATACGTGATTGGTGGCACGAGGATCGAGGACTACACTCCCTGAAGAGTAGTCATGCATACATATGTGAAAATACTTTGCTATGCCCCTTTATTGCTCTCTGTTGCAGCAAATCAAAAATCAGCAACCTTCTAGAGCCTGTCACGCATCCCAAGAACAATTACAAACAGAGGCAAACCGGGGCATCCCAAGGGATTTTCTGACAAAGGCAACCCAAGCATGCATCATTCATCATCCGGAGCAGATTTGAGGCAGTCCCTGGCTTGCATGCCAATTTATTGCTTTCCTAATTTAATTTGTTAATTAATTAGGGTTTTGTACATATTTGGACTGTAATTATTCATTTGGGACTATATATTATTTATTCGGACCCTCCGAGTGAGGGCACAACTGTAATAAGTGTGCGTGTGTGTGATGTATGTCTTCCAACCCCATGTCTTTCTCCCTTTTATTTACCCGCTTATGATGGTTAGATTAGGGCATGTTTCAATTAGCATACAGTATGATAGCATGTTTGCATTCATTCATCTGTTTTGCATGCACCGGGCTCGGCGCATTATACTAACTGCATTATATTTTCAATTCCAAATTGAATACATGTTAGCTGTAGCATTTCATATGCCATGTCTAGAATAGCCGAGCCTGCTATAAGTTGCACTCTTGCATGTGTTGCATTAGGCATTTCTGTATAATTAGGATCATGCATGGATTTCTAATTAGCTTCTGTTTTGGCTTGGAGTACTCGGGAAGTTTTATGCTTTAGCATCATTGCATGCGTGTGAGTGACTTCCATGAATAGCATGCTTACCATGAGGCTATATGCTTATGTGATATAACTCCCTAAATGCCTGTGGGTGAAGGTTGGGTTATTTGGATTGGAACAATTCATCAATTGTGAGTTTTAAGCCCACTAGATTGTGGCAAAACCATGTTTTCTAAGCCCACCCGAGAGTGGCAAAATCTGCATTTTTAGCCTACTTGCGAGAAGCAAACCGTTTTCAAAAACAAACATGAAATGTTTTGTTCCAATTCAGGCGATCCAGTCTATACTTATATGCTGTGTGCATCACATAGTAACCTAGGCTAATAACCGGATTAAGGACACACAAAGTTTTCAAAAATATATATCATGGTTAGTAGAGGCCGATCTTTGATCGGGCGAGCGGGGGTGCTCACGAAGTGACCTTCCCCAATCGTACCCAAGTTCCCGAGCCGAGGCAACTTTGGTTATGACGGACACGTGGCCTTAGGCAAACGAGTCAGGGTTTCCTAAATTTCCCCAAAATAAAACATTTAGGTGGCGACTCTGTATCTGGCAAAGCAGTCTATGTTTGGCACTTCTTTCAAAATCTGTTTTCTCAAAACGATTTGCCGGATTTGGACTCTTTGGTTCAGATTAAGAACCGTGACAATTTGAGAGTCCTGAACTGTAGTGACCCCAAATGAACAGAACGGGACCT